GAGAGAAGGAAAAGGAAGGAGGACAGAAGAAAAAAAGAGCACCAAGATGTTACGGTAGATGCAGAAAACTAGAGGAAGAAGAAAAAAAACTGGAGGGGAGATACGAGAAAATCAACAGAAAAACCAAGCAAGAGGAAAACTGGAGAAAGTAAGGGCCAGGACAAAATCGTCAATCGGAGAAAAGGATCGAAGTGCATTCATTTCTCATTATGTTGTCTTCAAAAAACAAGTGAGAGCAGGCTTAGAGATGAAGCGTCTGTATGCCTATAATGATGACAAGATGAAAAGCTGAAGATGGTGGATGTCAATGAGCGGGCTGACTATTGGGCAGTTGGGAACTCTAGTGCTTTTGTGTATTTCGACGATAATCTGCTGTTTGAGGTGTTGAAGCACGCTGGTCATGGCGGCTTGTGTGAGCAAGCAGTGGCACAAGACGATGCTAAATGTGCAGCTTTGGGAGCTGATCTGCACCAAACATTAGGCTAACACCAGCTGTGGTGTGCAGTGGTCGTTGCCCTCGGTGGCTTCCATTGTCGCCATACTCTCTACCTCTAGCCTCTCTCCAAGCCCTAGAAAAAATGCCAGACATGTTGCTGGATTACAAGCACAAGAGGGAGAAGAAGATGAAGAGAGAAAAAGCTGATTGGAGATAACTGTTAAAAGGTAAAGACTATGGCTTGAATAATATTGTTCTCTTTTCTCCTTTTCTTTTCAAGATTTTATGGTGGGCATAAGTTTACATGAGTCATTAACTAGCTATTTATAAAATATCATGTATAATCTTGCATCTTTTAATGGTTCAAGGGCATAGTTATAACTTGATATTTGAAAATTAATCACCAAGTTTGTCTACTAATTTTGAAAATTTGACAAGTTCTTCATCTTGTGATGTTGGTGTCTGCAAAATAGACTTGTAATGGTTTGTATTATAAGATATTCAATGTGTCTAATCTAGGTACGTTTAGTTTTACATGGTTAATTCTCAAATTGCCTTTCAATCTTTTAATTACTATGTTTTAGAAAAATGTAATGTGTGATGGCATGAGTTGATCTTTATATTAATCTTTGTTCATTTGTAAAAATTTATTCATGCGTAATACTTCATAGTGTTTTTTATTTCCATATGCTGTCATGATTTTCTTATAAGAGGCTAAAGTATAAAAAGAAAAAGAGAGAGAGAGATATATATATACACATATACACACACATATTTATGGCTTATTTGTCGGGTGAGATATTAAGAATCTCCGTAGGCACTTAGAATGATTTCATATCGTGTAAATCAATAAAATTTTGCAGGTATGAGGATCAATCTTGTATGTATTTATATGGGTTTCAAAGACCCATTATTAAAATTAATTCTCTCTTTATAATAAATATTTAAGTCTCATGTAAGACTTCAAGAATCTTTATAGAAACTTAAATTAATCGTGTAGGATAATGAATTCTTGCAAATATCGTGATTTACAATTTACATGGTAAATAAATAATAATAAATGTTTTTATGATTTTAATTAAATTAATAAATTTGAATTATAATCACATTTTTTAATTAAATATTTTGGTCATATGAGATTTTTAAAACTCCGTAGACCTTTAGGATAATCGTACTACCGGGTGAGTCAATAAGACTTCACAAATATAACAATTAAGATTTTTATATTAAAAAATATGCGTTATATAATTACGTATTAAAATATATTTAAAGTGAATATTATTTAGTCCTTTTGTTGTATGAGATTTTGAATCTCTGCGGATAATTAGGATAATCTCATATTGTGTAAATCAATAAGGTTTCACAAATATGAAAATAAAATTTATATTTTAATATGGGTTCCAAAAGCTCATTATTAAAATTAACTCTCTCTTTTTATATATAATTCAAATTAATAATTTATTTAAGTCCCATGTGAGATTTTAAAAATCTTTGTAAAGATTTAAATTAATTACATCATCGTGTGGGATAATGAGTCCTCGCAGATGTAGTGATTTTTAATTTTTATAATAAATAAATGATTTTTTGTAAACAATGATATACTACACAATTTAAAAAATTAATTAATCAAATTAATGCATTTAAATTATAATCATATTTACCAATTATATCATTTAGTTATGTGAGATTTTTGAATCTCTATAGACTTCTAAGATTATCGTATTATTGTGTGAGTCAATAAGACTTTGTAGATATAAAGATTAAATTTTTAAAATATATATATATATATATATATATATAATTAATTAAATTAAAGATGTATTTAAATTTAATTTCCTTATTGCGTGATATTTTGGAATCTCTACAGATATTTAGGATAATTATATTATCATATAAGTCAATAAGACTTTGCAGGTATGTTGATTAACAATCTTTAAAACACATACATACATACTTAAAAAAATTATTACTAACATTTAAAAATATACATAAGAATATAAATAAATAAATTAAATTGTTAAATTTTTTTATCGTGTGAGATTTCAAAATCTCTGCAAATATTTAGAATAATTATATTATCATATGAGCCAATAAGCCTTTGTAGGTATTGCGATTAAATTTTTGATCATAAAATATAAAAATAAAAATAAAAATAATTCTTAAACTCTTTTCTTTTTCTTTATTCCAAAAAATTTAAAAATTGAGAAAATAGTTAAAATTAAATTACTTTTTTCAATTTAAAACACACATATCAAAATTTTTAGAAATTGTTTTGTTTGCAAAATGATGAATTATTTTTAATTAATTTCTCTTTAAAAAAATATTTTCATTAACAACTTTTAAACCCGAACTACATGAACTTTGATCCCCATCACAGGATATATAGGTCTCAGAGTCAAATTCTGAGTCAAGTCCTCCGTCATAAATAAATAAATATTTTTCACTTAATTCTTATCATTTTTTAAAACACATGAATGTAAAAAGGATAACTAAAATGATTATAAAATAATATTAATAGAGCACAGCAAACTTTAGGTAACTGTTCTGACAAACGGGTGTTGTGGGATATCTAACACCTTCCCCACACTCAACTAATTCCCGAATCTATTTTTTGATTTCACAGACTATCTTTATCCTCCATTGATCGGTTTTCGAAATTTATCTCAAAATCTTGGTGGCGACTCCTCATTCCAACCGATTCTCGCCCGAAGGCCGGGACCTCTGAGCACCGTTCGCGCTGCATTTTTTCGGGTGCAACACCTATACTTTATTTTATTTTAATCAAACCCCTATAATTGGATTAATTAAATATACTAGTACTTGAAAGTTAAAATTACTAAGAAATATTGAATTTTTTAAAACAAAAAGACTTTTAAAATTTATAGAAAATTTGATCTAATACTTTGAGCCAAAAAGTTTTGATTTAATACAACAATTACATTTTATTAATTTTTATAAAAATTTTATATATATAAAATTTATTTAGAAACCATAACCTAATTAGATAAACTTTAAATTATAAAAATCGTGAAATTAATCCTAAAATTATATAATCTTTTAATAAACATAGAAAAGTCATTAATTTTATTTTTAAAAATAGAAAATTAAAGGATTTTAACAATCTAGGACTAACATATTTAAGCTGATTTGATTAAAATAAAATAAAATATAAATATTTAATTCAAAATCATATAAAATTATAAGGCAACAAAATATTGTCTTTACTATTAAATTTAGATGTCATAAATTCTGGTACTAGTACATTGGTATTTATAATTATAATTTTGTATTTTCGTAGGGCAAGACTTATATATTTACCTTATATATTAAACACACTTTCATCCAATCAAATCAAGACATATAAATTTTAATATGTTAATAATATTAATAACAAAATTTATTATAACATAAAAAATTTATAATAGATACACATGTCGTAATTTAATTATAAACAAGTACCTTGAGTATTTAAAGTTAAGTATATAAATTTTTTCCATTCTCGTAATGCTAAATACTCATATTTAAATGTTCAAATTCATGTTTTTTATTGTCAACCATACCTGACATAAAATTTATAGAATTTGGCATTAAGAGAATAGTATGAATTAACAATTAGCAAATTCAAGTACAAGTATTTACTATTTAATTTTACAACTGTTTTTTTGTTGCCAAAATATTTAATTTTACAACTCAAAAAACTTACATTAACAATTACTATTATAATAATTTATCACTTAATAAAGAAAATTTAGTCATTTCGATTTATTTTATTTTTTGATTGCATATAAGTGTTTCATATTTAAGACATATTTGGATACTAAATACAAGTACTTCTACTAACAGGAGTCGATAAAAACTTGCATGGGCTCACGTCATTTATATATTATCTAATGAAAACATGCTATACGAAATGATAGTAACCATGAATTAATTTATGCCATTGATGATAATTGAGAGAAAGACTAAAAATTAAATAGTCACTTTATTTTAAAAATAAAGTTATTAAGAATAATAACACATAAAATTTTATTTAACTGAACTGATTTAATTTTATTGAATAAAATATGGATAAAATGATACCAAAAATCTAAAAAAAGGGATGATCATTGAACAGGTTAAAGAACTTATTCAAGAATTAATAATCAAAATTGTAGTTGAACTTGATTAAACAGATTAAAACATTGGTTTAACAATTTATTTGTTCAACTGAATAAATTAACCTAAATTTTCATACCATAAATGATATTTCTCATACGTGCAAGAATTTTTCATAGGATTTCAAACATTAGTTTGATGCTTTATGAAAAATTAGCTCATTTTATTAAATCCAAAACGTTGATTTTTTTTTCAACATTTTTAAATGCATAGGAGAATCTTGCTCTTGGATTAATTTCAGAAATTTAAGTTGCTTTGATATAAATAAATTCTCATTTAGATACATTACTTGACAATATTTTAATAAAAAAGTTACATCGGAATATATCCAATGCACGTACGCGGAAATACAGGGAAAACTGAAAAAGGGGGGGGGGATGAGAGAGATTTTGGTGGGAAAAGTATAAGACTTGAATCGAAAACGAAGAAAGGCTATAAAGCAGCGAATGCCCGGCAGAGAAACCTGTGGCTGGAGCCTGCCTTCAAACCCTAAACCTATTTTCATCTCCGAATTTGGGGTATAATCAATCTATGTCCTCTTGCTAATTCTCGCTCTTCTTTTTTCAAGCCGGAATCCTTATTCTTCCCTGTATACTTTGTACCAAATCGTTTGTTTTCCCTCCTGTTATATCGTTTTTTCCCCTTCTCTCTCTCCTGAATTATCATTTCTTCAATGTCAGCGTTCCGTTTATTTTCAATTTTGAATGTTCATTTTCGGGTTGTGGTAGCATTTGTATAGAGTCGGATAATCGGAGTGGAAGGAAGACATTGAGGATCGAATTTCAATTTCTGGCAACTTTTGCTTGTCGATTTCGGAATTTGAATTGATTAGAAACCCTTTTCGTAGATGGTTATCTTCTGACAGAAATTTAGGTGTTTGACGAGCTCGGTGAAAGTCTGAAGCTTTTTCTCATTGCAAACCCGGCGTTTGGGAATCGTGTTCTGGGTTTTTGAAATCGTATTCGGGTAAAATGGCCGGAGAGAGTGGCGGTGTTGGTTCTGGGGATGACTCGGGAACATCGTCCCCGAAGAATAAAATTAAGTTCTTATGCAGCCATGGCGGGAAGATTCTTCCTAGACCCGGCGACGGCGTGCTGAAGTATGTGGGCGGCGAGACACGTGTCATTGCAGTGCCTCGTGACAGCACTTTCTCAGGTATTCATTGTTGATCCTGTTTGTTCCCTTGAAATTATCCTCGTGACAAATCATAATTGCCTTTATCCCCAATTGATTGCCATTTCATAAGCTTCACGATCAATGGCTAGAAATTTTCTAAGCATCCAATAATAATTAGCACGAAAATAGTAGTGGTTTATTTGATCTCTTTCATACTTTGCATAAGAACTAGAAGGACATAAGAGTAAGATTGTTTATGAATTTTTTTGTACTATTTTTTAATGTCATTACCATTATCACTATAATTTAAATTTAAAGTTAATTTATCACCATTAAAAATGGAGATTTCTACGTCCCATGATAGCTTTAGAATTGACCTCACAACTAGTTATTATTAGTGTCAATGATAAAAGGGATTTATGAAAATCAGGATAACGTGCAGCATCAGTCATTATTTGACATTTTGACCCAGAGTTACTACTTTTTATCCTGCGATTGTTAAAGTGTGTGCTCATCATTGCTAAAAAGTTGGTTCGCTTGTTATCTTGAAGACTTGAACATTTTATGGTAATATGAGGATATTTTTGGCATTATGGATCATTTAAATCTTTAAATGTCAGTTTTAATGATATTCTTAAAAGATCATGATGAAAGTTTCAGCAATGAAATAATATTTACCCTTTTCACTTCACATGATTATTTTTTAAAAGTCAGAACTGAAAACATCACTGTTATTGGAGGGTGATTGGATGATTCATTGAACCACTTGAGAGGAATGCCATAATCATGTTAAAGTTAAATTTGTTCATACTACTTGCAGTACTAATATGAAAATCATCACTATCTCCAAGGTTCAGGAAACCTGAACCTAATAGGATGTAATTGCTTATGCATTGTGTTGTCAATATTTCAGACTTTATGAAGAAAGTCACTGCTCTGACGGATGGTGAAATGGTCCTCAAGTACCAACTTGTCCCTGAAGATCTAGATGCCTTGGTCACAGTTAGGTCGGATGCAGATCTCCAGCACATGTTTGATGAGCATGATCGCCATGGAATAGGAGCTCCAATGCTTCGAGCTTTCCTGTTTCCTTCCAAACCACTTGTACTGGAGAACCAGTCATCTTTCACTGAACCGCACCCATCAGAGCAGCGCTACATCGATGCCATCAATGGCATCATCCACATTAACCCCAGGGGAAGACCTTGTTCTATCAGAGTTGTCTCCTCAGCTTGTTCTTCCCCAAAAAAATCAGATTCCCCAGATGGCCATTCTGTAGATGTAACCCCTGAATCATCATTCTTTATCAGCAACCCAAGGTCATCGATGCACAGAGTGCGAAGTTCTCCCAGCTTCAGCAGCCTTACCAACCTCCAAGGCAACCTCCATAGTACTAAGTATGAACGCAGTTGTTATCACCAGCACCACCAGCACCACCCTCATGGCCATCCTTTTGTTAGACTGTCATCAGATCCACAAGCAGTGTTTTGGTTTGGAAGGCCCTCATCAATTTTGTCATTGACGAGGCAAGATAGTGGTAGGGGTAATGGTTTTAACCAGTATTACGCCCCTAACAGAAGCAACAGTAACAAAGGGAATTCAGGCCTCCCCAAAAGTGGAGGAGGACATCTTGATGAATCTTATACACCTGGACATCTTAGGTTTGAGAGATCCAATAGTGCTCCTCGCGCCCCAAGTCCTATATGGGAATAGTGAAATGTGAAGTTTCTGCATGAAACTGGATTGTATTTTTTTATTTTTTATTTTTGTATAGCACTTTATGTAAAGATTTTATATGGTGTCCGTATTCATTGATTGATATATATATATATATATATATATTTTGGAATGAGGTTTTCGAAGACAGAAGGTTGTACTTAAGCCAATTCTTTGCTTACATGAAACATTATAATTAGAATGGCTTCTAAAAGTATTGCAGCGTGAAAAATTGTAAGTTTTGTGATCTTTTTTGGTTTTGGTTTTTCTCCAATTATGCTAATTCATTATGTGGGTTTTAATTTCAAACTGTTTGTAGATTCTTGGTTTTGGTTTTTTTTTTTTCCAATTATGCTAATTCCACATGTGAATTTGTATATAACAAATATCTCATCACACAAAATTGAATTGCTACCTTCAATTATATTTTTAAATATTTTAATAAGCATGCAAACTGATTAATTGATCAAGTGTCTCAAAACTCCCACAATATCGCTATTTTGGACTTCTCACCTCTAGGGTACAAAGTTTGTTAATTTTTAACATGACTTAAGATTTAGGAAGAATCACATTTAAAAACACCTTAAAAAAAATTATTCACAAGCAAAAATTAATATAAAATAAATTATTGATAAAATAAAAATGATTTTTTAATTTTAAAGTTAATAAATTATATAATTTAAAATTTTAATAAATATTATTATCTAATACCGATTTATCAAAACAACCAGACATCTTGATTCCTTCCAATTTCTAACAAACAAGATACAAAATAAAAATTCAATTCAGTCCCCCTTTTTTTTTTTTTAGCGGGACACGAGACAAAAATATCCCAAACTTATGAAGGTAGGAAGGAGAATCAATCCTATCAAAGCAATTGTAACTAATGAACACAAGGCACCACAAATTAGCTCATCCTGATCCAATATTTATTCAAATAAAAATTAAAACTACATCTTGAGCTGTTAATTCTCCCATGACAGCCGATGCATCACCTAACTTCCACCCCCTTTCATATTTACTACTTCTCAAGTCCGAATTGTGTATCAAAAATTGATGTTCATCATATTTATGATTTTAGATGATTTCCCCACTACCGACGCTTCCATGACCATCTAAAAAAATCCCTGTGTAACACATTCATCCACTCTTCATTGACAAAAAATCACTACTAATAAATATTTTTTATATAAAAAAAACTGACATCATTTAACATTGAAAAAAGAAGCTTCGGAAAATCTCTCCAAACCCATTTAAGAGTCGGTAAAGTCTGCATCAATAACATCCCCCTCGGGTCCCTTGCCTTTTGGTTCTGAAGGTCCAGACTCGCCACCAGGGGGTGAAGGCCCTGCTCCTCCTGCAGCTCCAGGCTGGTTGTACAGGGATTGACCAAGTTGCATAACTTCTTGATTGAGGGCAGCCATGGCGTCCTTCATGGCTTGGGTCGAACCACCCGAAATTGCATCTTTAAGCTCCCCGAGTTTAGCTTCAACCTTCTCTTTCACCGCACCTGGAACCTTGTCTCCTAACTCATTCAACTGCTTCTCAGTCTGGTAGACCACAGAATCTGCCTGGTTCTTGGTGTCAATAGCATCCCTCTTCTCTTTGTCCTCCTTTGCAAACCTCTCTGCCTCCTTCACCATCCTATCCACCTGTAATTCATTTACAAGATCATTAAACATCATTAAATCTCCATTTAAAATATTCAAACATAAATAGTGTGTTAAATAAAAGTCCGTGATAATCATTTTCAGCTACCTCGTCATTAGGCAAGGTGCTAGCACCAGTGATGGTAATATCTTGTTTCTTCCCTGTGCCCTTGTCCACGGCAGCAACTGAGAGAATGCCGTTAGCATCAATGTCGAATTTCACCTCAATCTGAGGAACCCCACGAGGTGCAGGAGGGATACCATCCAACCGGAAGCTACCAAGAGATTTGTTGTCCCTAACAAATTCTCTCTCACCCTGCAGAACATTGATCTCTACACTTGTTTGTCCATCAGCAGCTGTTGAGAAGACCTCTGACTTTGAGGTAGGAAGAGTAGTGTTTCGAGGGATAATTTTTGTCATCACACCACCTAGAGTTTCCAGACCCAAGGACAATGGAGTAACATCCAATAGCACAATGTCACTGACATCTCCAGCCAAGACACCAGCCTAAAATAAATCCAAAAGATAACAACACGTTAGTCAATAAATATAATGCACCGTCAACAAAAGCACTGATCAATTTTGACTTTAGATCCCAAGGGAGAGTAACATTAGCCAATAAGTAACACACAATTCAATTGCATCATTAAGCTCCAGGCATGATGCTTAACTTGTCGAGAAGGAAGCAGACAGCCAGAGACACTCAATGAAATCTAAAGATCACCAGTGCATTCTTATGAAATAAAAAATAAAAGAAGAATTGAATAATTACTAATTAGCTATTGAAGAAGCTAAAACCCACCTGAACTGCAGCTCCAAGAGCAACCACTTCATCAGGGTTGACAGAGACATTTGGGTCCTTGCCAGTCATCTTTTTACAAGCTCTTGAACAGCAGGTATACGTGTTGAACCCCCCACCAATATCACCTCATCAATATCCTTGAATGAGAGTTTTGCATCCCTCAATGAATTTTCAACCGGTGTGTTGAGCCTGAAATATAATTGATCCAAGAATTACACCTGATAAGTTCTTTTAATGCAAGATTTTGTCAGCTTAAAAACCATTTGTATTCTTTTAAAACTCAAAAAACACCAATTATAAGGGAAAAACAGAAGAATGAATTCCAGTGTTCATTACCTATCAAGAAGATCTGAACATAATTCCTCAAATTTAGCCCTTGCGAGGGTGGTCTCAATATGCTTAGGTCCTTCAGCTGTGGCAGTTATGAATGGCAAACTGACAAAAACACACAATCACCGTCATTTGGATAAAGCTTCACAAGCACACACCCAATACTCCTGATGTTATAAATCTCAGTTGAAGAATCCATACCTGATATTTGTTTGAGTCAATGACGACAGCTCCATTTTTGCTTTCTCAGCAGTCTCAGTGAGACGCTGAAGAGCTTGTTTGTCTTTCAAAAGATCTATTCCTTCGTCTCTCTTGAAGTCTGAAGCCAGCCAATCGACAATTCTCTACAATCAACATGTGAAAATAGGAGAACAGTCAGTTAAGACATCCAAAGACCAGTCAGGCCCCACTAACAATAGAAAGAACAAGAAAGGAATCCCACCTTATCAAAGTCATCACCACCCAAATGCGTATCTCCAGAGGTAGAAAGAACCTCAAACACTCCATCGCCAACCTCAAGTACTAATATGAAGTCAAATAAACATAATAAGTCCAAATGAAAAATGCAGAAAAGAGTACACACACACACACACACACAGAGAGAAAACAATCTTTCAACATGGATAAGGGTAGGTGGACATGCTCATACTACCTGAGACATCAAAAGTACCACCTCCAAGGTCAAATACCAAGATTGTCTCGTTGTTCTTCCTCTCAAACCCATATGCCAAAGAAGCTGCAGTTGGCTCGTTGATGATACGAAGGACTTCTAATCCCGCAATACGACCAGCATCCTTTGTTGCAGTCCTTTGGGAATCATTGAAGTATGCAGGCACCGTTACCACGGCTTTAGTCACTTTGTCATTCAAAAACTTAGAAGCATCATCCACAAGCTTTCTCAAAACCTATATTAGAAGCGAAGATATTATTATAAACACAGCTTGTGTACAACTATCATATTCGAAACGAACCACCAAGATAATATTATCAGACCAGACCGTTTAATGAGCACAGGGAAGTTCAACAGCTCAGTATAACTAATAAAAAGTCAATAAATTCAACTATTCAGGAAACATAACCGCCACGCATACAGAACGGAAACAAGAAAAAGCCCACAAGCCATAAGCCCTATCATACAATAAGGCTTATACCTGAGCGGAGATTTCTTCAGCTGCGAACTGCTTTCCAATAGCTGGGCACTCAAGCTTCACATTTCCGTTGTCATCTCTCATTACTCTGTATGAAACCTGCTTTGACTCTTCGTCCACTTCAGACATCTTCCTACCGATGAACCTCTTCACCGAGAAGAAAGTGTTCTCTGGATTCACCACCGCCTGGCGCTTGGCAATCTGACCCACAAGCCTGTCTCCGTTCTTGGTATACGCCACCACAGACGGCGTCGTTCTTTGACCCTCGGCGTTGGTGATAATTGTGGGTTTTCCGCCTTCCATAGCAGCGACGGCTGAGTTAGTCGTCCCCAAATCAATACCCACAACTTTCTCATTCACAACTCTCACTGGTCCCACACTATACCTCCTCCTGGTCTTTAGCTTCAGAAATGCAGAACGAGGGAACTCTAAATAAGATGAACTACCTACCCTCTGCCCCAAAAATACTGTTCTGGAATGAGCAGAATTGGCTTCTTCAGTGAACCGGCAAATGATGGAGTACCAAGACCGTGTATTTGAGCACTAGAACAAGCCATAGTGAATTAGTGATTGAATTCAAGTAATATCTGAAAGAATTTGAGGAACCTAATAGTTAAATGCAAAAGAGGCAGAGCTATAAATTGGGACCAACGGTGAAGAGTTGCAGGGAGAAAGGTAGGGATATGAGAGGACGGAAAAACCCTAATCCGAGGAGAACGAGAAGAGAAGGGATAGAGAAGAAGATAGGACTTGGAAGGCGGTTTTATGCGGTGACACGTGGAAGGTTCTAGAATGATCTTCGAGTTACCGTTAGATTGGAGGCCAGAATCTGTCTTGATTTCTCGCCGTTGGATTGAAGCATGCCGGTGGGCGGTGGTGGCTGACGAAAAAATAGAGGTAACTATTTAGCTACATTGCAGCCTCCAGGAACTTGGACCTAGGCTGCGAAATCTTAAAAATCTTAAAATTCTAAAATTTTAAATTAAAAAAATATGTAATGGTAAATTAAAATACACATTTTTTATATCACACTTTTTTGTGTGAGAATAAGATCAAATTCCCTTTAATTAATATCAATTTAAAATTTTATTCTTAAATTTAAAATTTTAAAAATAAATATTAAATATAAACATAATCTAAAATCTTGACTATTTTTAACTAAATACTCTTCCTTGTTTGTAAAAAAAAAAAAAATCTTTCGCTCCTTTTTTAAGTCATTTTTATTAATATCATTAATATCAATGTTAAAAAAATATAAGAAATAAAAGTACATAGAATTCTAAATATACACCTACATAACAATTTAAAAAGTAATGTTATGTTATTTTTTTCTCATGAAGGGTAATTCTAAATATACACCTACATAACGAATTTAAAAATTAATTTTATGTTATTTTTTTCTCATAAAGATAATTTTAAAAATATTATATTATCTAAAAAGCACATCGTAATTTATAAATGAGATCAAATAAATTTTTTAAAATATGATTTATAAATGGGATCAGGAGGAGTAGATTCATATCTTAACGAATAAAATATATAATCTCATGAAAATAAAAAAAAACATAATCTTAAATTTTTTACATAGAAGCCCATCTTAAATTTTTTATATAAAATCCTTATTATGTCATTATGTGATTTTACTGATATTTTAAATCTTAAATTTGAATAAATAAATTATACTTCTCTGTCTCTTGCATAAATATATCTTTTAAAAATATTCTAATAAATAATTTTATCATTATAAAAGATTATTTAGTTAGAGGAAAATTTGGAAAGAACAAAATTAATCAAACACAAGTAACCTTCTAAGTTAGTAATTTTGCGTACACGCACATATAAGCTTTAAGAAATTGGTAACTATTTTTATAGGTGGCTTTGTATTAAAAAAATGACTATTGATACTTTATTCCTATTTTAACCTTTTTTGTAAATAAAGAGATTGAATATAAAAAGAAACATGTTTTTAAAGAGGTACTTTATAATGAATAATTTAGAATGTTTTTACACAAAATAATAACTTAACCTCCTTTTAATTTTTGTAAAATAGTTAAAAAAATGCTCATATATAAGAAAGAATAATAGAAAGGTTTCACAATGATTAAACTAATTTTTTTAGTATACATTCAAGAATTCATTGAAAGTGAATTTAAAAACTTGCTGCCAAGCAGCTTTTAGAATGTTAATGGAATAATACATGTGGCGTATGATGGGTGGATAACAAGTTCACATTGTATTAGTCAATTTTCCATAAACCCCCTGTCAACTTTATTTTATAATCTTATTTCTTAAATGCAAATTACATTTAAAAATGTTATGTGATTTCAAAAAAAAATAATAATGTTATGTCACAGGGAATTATTATTTTTTTTGAAAGAAGAATAATTCTGGATCATGAAGAGATGCTCTGAATTACCAACTTTTTTAAAAATTTGACTAAGAAAATTTATAAAAATTACTTCTTCATATAAAAATTAATTGGCAAAATTTTTGTGATGAATTTCAAATATGGTTATAAAATAATAATAATTTTTTCAATATATCTAACTTTATTTTTTTTTATTCTTATTATTTAATATGTCAAATTTTTTGTTATTTAAAATTTTTATTACATTTTTAAAAATATCTAATATATTAAATTTATATAACAAAAATTACAAATTATTATAAATTAATATCCTTTTTTATAATTGTACATTCAAAAACACTTTTTATTATATATAATTCAAACAACTTTTAATTTATTAAACAAATTTTAAAAAAATAAATATATCCAAATATAAATTTTCTCACAATAATTAACTTTTACTAAACTGAATTTTATTATAAACTTTTAGTTAATTAAAAACCAAACACACAGAGTATCAAACTAAGATATATAATTTTCGAAATAGAACATTGGCCCAAAAAAAATTAAAATAGAATGGGTTCAAGCTATTATAAAATACAATTTGAGAATTAATTAAGGAAGCATTTTAAAAAACCTACTAAGAAGGTATGACCTTGGTCACCTCTCCTCCCTATAATATATTCCATCCAATATTTACATAAGTGCTCTATAGCTATCTCACTTTGTTATAAATGGAGAGAATGACAGAGATCTCACAAGGACTAAGTTCATCTGAAAAATTACATGATATTCAACCATACAAATCACATCTAAGCATCTCCAGGTAGTGGATCCAATGGTAGTGGAGTGTTGGTAGCATTGTGTGTAGTCACTTAGATCTACCTGTAATATGCATTGTTCATATGAATGTTCATAATTAGCTTGACCTACAATTTTCTCTGCATATCAAGCTCACCTAAGAGTTTCTCAATCACTTTCTCATCGCGGTTCATATTTTTGCGGCAGATTCTTTCTGAGGAAGGGCTCTCCAACCGATATCATGGCGGTAGAAGCCTTCTGGCCAATTAATCTGCTCAACAGCTCGGTAAGCGCGATCACAAGCTTCCTGGAGATCAGTTCCTTTGGCTGTGACACCAAGAACACGGCCGCCAGTGGCGATAAATCTGCCCTCCGAATCATAAGTGGTTCCGGCGTGAAATATCTTAACCTGAGGATCGACAAGATCAGCTTCTTCGAGGTTTTGAATCAGAGTTCCTTTCTCATATGGTCCGGGATAACCCTTGCTTGCCATTACCACAACCATGGCAGATCCTGGAGACCAGTTCAATGAAACACCACTTAGCTCTCCTCTGCTAGCTGCAAGCAGAACTTGTGCTAAATCAGACTCCAACCTGACCATCAACACCTGTTCAGAGTTGCAACAAGGGAAAAAGGAGAAATGAAAACTCAATTAGCAAAATGACTTCACAATATACCAATGGTGGTTGGATCAAGTGAAATGAAATTTATTATCATTACACAAGTGTTAGGTTCAAGTTTTGTTTAAAAAAAAAAAAAATCATGCTCGGAAAACTATCTCCATTTAGGAACTTCCAACAAGCACATTTAATTTAGTTGGTAATACTAGATATGAGATTGTGTTTACTTTTCACCTCAAACTAATGACTTTTTCCCTTTGGATGGGGGAGAAAAATAGGGAGGAAGGAAAACTAGGAAAAAAAATCCTTAAAAATAATTAAAAAAAATTCATTTTGATTCTATTTACATGTCACTTCAACATTTTTATCATAACCAAGAAGAATCTTAAACATCATTAACTCTGTGTAAAAATTTAACAAGTTTCCAACTTTAACGTTATTAAGTAAATATACTTTAAAAATAAAATACTCTAACATTTAATAACCTTTCCAACATTTAATAGAGGCAAAAGGTAAAGATGAACACAATAATAATTGACGTACTCTATAAATAGAACCTAAACAAATACTCTCTCTCTTTCTCTCTGCCCTAATAAATAGGAGAGGAGTACTATTTTTAGAAATTTATCTGTCTAGTTTTCTCTCCTTCCTATTTTCTTCCCGTTTTTCCCTCCATCCAAACCAAACATTTATGATAGTGTAATCCATAGAGTAACCTAAAAAACTGTCAGATGTGTGCGTCTTTGGTATCACCTCATATAAGATCAGACGAGATACCAATAAACCGAAAAGAAACATTAGAAAAATCAAGATTTGAAAGCATATGATCAAGATCTCACCAAGCATAAGTATCAAAGATGAATAGCAATGCAATCTGTTAGGAAAGTGCATGAGGAGTTTGTAGTTATAAAATAACATGAGCATGATGAACCATACAATCTAAATTATCAACTGCGCAAACATGAAATCGGTTTGCAATGATTTGCCAATTGCCTGCTATGGTATACCTTTAAGTATTGTGATTGTGATAAATAGAAAATGAAATGCTGCAAAGTGCAATCAAGTATCAGTCAACTGACCTGGCACTCTGGGTCACCAAAGCGCACATTATATTCTATTAGCTTAGGCAAGCCAGACTTTTTTTCAATCATAAGCCCAGCATACAAAACCCCAACAAACTTGCAACCTTCTGCTGCCATTCCTTTTACAGTGGGCATAATAATAGAATCCATTACTATGGACTGAAGTTCTTTGGTTAGCATAGGAGCGGGAGAGTATGCCCCCATGCCACCAGTGTTAGGTCCAGTGTCACCATCACCAACTCGCTTATGGTCTTGAGCAGATTCCAACGGGATTGCATTTTCTCCATCAACCAATGCAAAAAATGAGACCTCTTCTCCTTCAGAAATTCCTCAATAATGACACGACAACCAGCAGAACCGAAGGTACCATTCACCAGCATTGAATCAACAGCTTCATATGCTTCTTCCAGTGTCATGGCAACTGTAACTCCTTTTCCAGCAGCAAGTCCATCTGCTTTAACAACAATGGGTGCTCCTTGCTCTTGAATATATTGCTTAGCAGCAGAGGGGTCTGTAAATGTTTTGTACTGCATTAATTAATTCAGAATTAGTCAGAAGTGATAACTTTCTTCAAGATGACATACAACTAGGCTTAAGATTAATGCACAAAGATATATTCAAATAGGACAAGGGCGGATGTTTAGTTCAAGAGAAAAAAGGGCACAAGAAGGACTAATTATCTATCTAATTGATGAGATTCTGAATGAGTATTCAAACCTTGGCAGTTGGAATTTTATACTTGTCACACAAATGCTTCATGAAATTCTTTGAACCTTCCAAAGCAGCAGCCTCAGAGGATGGGCCAAAAGTTGGGATTCCCGCCTTAACCAGATCGTTCACAAGACCTGAAACAAGTGGAGCTTCAGGTCCCACAACAACAA